CCCATCTCTTGGGCAGCCTAAAATAAAAAATGTTAAAGTATAAAGAAACAAAATGAACTTGTTAAAATAGATACAGAGCCGAAGTCTACCTGATTGAAAGCAGCCGTCGTTTCAGAAGGGCCCATAATTCGAAACGCCGCAGGTGTCGGGCCTATGACCGACTCGTCTGCTGGTTGTAGACTGTGGGCAACGGCCAGCTCCATACCCTGAAAGGAGAATTTCAAGCAAAAGAGAAGAAATGAAAACCAGAAAGTGGATGAAAAAGAATACTAACCAAACCCCTTGGGGCAAAATTGACTGATGCCTCACCCGACTTCGAGGAGGAGATCTCCTCTATGTCATGAGCTGGTGGGATCGGTTGGATTGGTTGGAGAGCGGCCAAAGGTTCCTCGCCCACGGGCTGGGCGGCTGGCTGCAGGGGCAGCGCAGCGATTTGGTCGGGCAAAACTGCGACCTGGTCGGGTAATGCGACAATTGGTCGGGCACCGCCGCGATCACATCAGGTTCCTGGTTGAAAATAATGATGCATGAGTTAGAAATTTGTAAGGAATTACATGAAAATATCTTGGCAGTTACCTGTGGTGGTTGAGGAGCAAGTGCAGGCAAAATTAGAGGAAAAGTCTGCATCCCCATCGGATCCTCTGGCCGACGGATCATTGGGAGCTCCCCTTCTGCAGGAAGAGGGGTCGGCTGAGGGGCAGCCGACGGAGAACTGGGGTTGTCCTACAAAAAAGGATAATCAAAGTTAGTAGGAAATTGAATAAGTATTTTCCTTAGAAAGTTTTCGAGGAAACAACTTACCCCGGCTGGCGGACCTTGGACGATGGGTTGTCCGACCGTGGTTGGTAATTCGGCGGTCGGTTGGTTGGTGGTTGGGGTAGAAGTTGATAAGGACACTTGCCTCACCGTCGGATCCTCTCCCCGACGGGTCACTAGCAATCCTGCGAATGGAGCCGCGGTCGGTTCGTTTGCGGTCGGGACAGCGGCTGATTGGGAGGAAGTCAGGGTAATGTAAGGTTGAGCCGCAGTGGGTTGAGGTTCGGTCGGTTGGACTGTGATCGGTGGCAACGAAGGGCTCTCTAAATTATAAAATGATTCAAGTTAAAAAGGGGCATACATTGAAAAGGAAACATGAACAGAAAAAGACTTACCAAATTGCTCCCTCAAGTATTTCGGTAGCCCACTCGCATCCACCGGCAGAGATGCTAGGTACTCATCGATAGCCTGTCTATCAATGACGGGGGCAGCTTTTTGTTTTTTTTTTTGTGCTCGACCCGCCTTCAGCAGGCGCTTGCCTTTTTCTTCTCGGAGCAGAGACTGGTCGGGGAGACCCCAGCGCGAATGCCGGGGGCGGGAGGAGCTTTCCGACCAATTGGTCGGTTGGGGGAGCAATCAGAGGCCAGGTGGATGACCACCAGGCCGGGAAGGCCTCAGCTGACGAAGGTTTATGGCAAAAGGGCAAGTAAGAGTTGGAAGTAATGTAGTCGGTGAGTTGAGAAAGGTAGGTCGGGTTGAGCTCGGGGATCACCTGCCTTCTGGGCTTTGAGGTATAAGGTGTGGTCGGGCTAGTGGTCCCGGCAGGCCCTGACACCAGCCGAACTGTCGGGCCAAAAATTGAGACTGATAATTGAAAGTATAAAATGATCTATGGTTTTTCTTGTCCGACCTCTTACTGGAAAATAGAGATCGAGGTTTCATGGCAGAGTCCCAGGAGAAGGGATAAGTCGGCTTGGGAAGAGGATCAGGATAAGGTCGGGGATATGGTGTGTCGGGGTAAAGCCAAAAACGTTCGGTAGCATATTGTATAAGGGTTTCATATACGTAAAAGCGAGAATTGCTACGGTCCTTGGTCAAAATTTGGTGGATGATATGGGTCGGATGGATGGAGGTTAGAAGAACCAGGGGTTAACTTGGCCAAGGCGTAACCTATAGACCTTTGTGGGTTCGGGGTGATAGGAAGTCGGCCAAAAAAGGCATTTGGTAAGTAAAGGCGGAGCCACAGCTCCAAGAACCAAAATGGTCCCGAAGCAGTTGTGTCCGCCTTCTTGGTGTCGGTTAGGCGGGTGCTCACTCGGGATAAACCCTCAAAAAGATTAGTTAAAAACAGGGTTCCTAGAGAGAAAAATTGGCCACTGGCCAGATGAATGGCCAGATCGACCTGGGAAGAAAGAACAAGCTTAGAGGGAGAAAGAATTATATATCTGTGAAGAGAGAAAAACTAAATTAAAGATCTGACTTCAAATTTACATAGAAAAGTATAAGGGAAAGAAAGTGTACCTGCATAACCAAAAAAAGAGAAACACTGTGTGTTCCAACTTGGACACAGGGGTGTCTTCCTCGTCCAAAAATTTGGAGATGAAGTTGGTCCAGCTTCTCTCATTCTCGGCAAGTTTAGCAAGGGCCAAACCAACATGGTCGGGCGAGGGCTCCCGACCCTCGAAAGAGACCAGGACAAGATTATCGCGCACTATGGGTAAGTGAGCGATGAGGGCAACGTCCATAAGGGTCGGGCCAATGGGACCAGAAGGGAGAAAGAAAACTCTCATCTGTGCGTGCCAGAAAGCTGCCATCGCCAACAGGGCTTTATCATGGAGGTGAAGAGGTTGGGTTGACAGTAAGATGGCCTTGTCTATGCCCTGCCTCCTCCACTGTGTTTCAAAATGAGGGAGAAGTCTTGCGTGCCATTTACGATAGGCGTCTTTAGGATCGGTGAGGTGAGTCTTGATGCTGTCCAGCAGACGTTCCGGCTTAAATGCAGCATCGTTGATGATTGTCGGAGAAACTTGAGAGATAACAGATTTCATGCGATCTGCATCCTCATTGGTGGTGTAGTAAGGCCGAACGGTAGGGGTGAGAACCCTCGAAGCCACAAAGGGCACCGAGGGGTCAGTTCCGTCAAAAGGGAGAGCAGAAACATACTAAGTGGCCATTTTCAAAGGAAATAACGAGAACGAAGGAGCAGGGGGTTTTGGAATATGATTGCTAGGAAGAGAAATGAGGGTTTCAGGATTTTGAGTGCATGAGTATGGAAGAGTGAAAGAAGGGTTTTACATAAACCCCGCGATGTGACATAAAACAGTGTAATGATAGCACTGTTTTACAAACTCCTAAACGTCACATCTCGCACAGTCCGAGAAGTGATGCTTAGGAGTCGGGCGGGAGGAGGCAAGTTGTTGAGCGAGAAAAAATCAATGTGTAGGATTTTCGAGAATAGGCCTATTAAATTGGGCTAAGGATTGATGTAGAGTCTAATGGGCCTGTCAATAGTAGTAGGACCTTAAAAATGGGTCCAAATATAAGTCCAAGCGCTATTAAGAAAGGGTTTCCTCGGAAGAAAACTGTGATTAAAAGGTCGGACAAAGGGAGGAAGGACGAAGAAGGGAAAACAATATATACTCAGGTCGGGTGACATACAGGTCAGGCAAAAGGAAGACGCGCGAAGAAAGATAAGGGCCGATACAGAAGTCGGGTAAAAGGAAGTCGGACGAAGAAAGATGAAACGACCGATACGGAGGTCGGTCAAAAGGAAGTCGGGGGAAGAAAGATGAGACGGTCGATACGGAGGTCTGTCAAAAGGAGGTCGGACGAAGAAAGATGAGATAGCAGACACGGAGGTCGGACAATTGGAAAGATATCTTCAATCGACATCAAATTCAGTAAATTGCTTTTGGGGATCACTATTTTACTTTTCAGTCTGTAGTATTTATTTTCTAGTTTACTTATGTATCGTACGGTGTCTAGAGACTTTTAATCTCAGGCATTTATTTTATCAAATTCGAAGATAATTTTTATTTTTGAATTTTACTTTCTATTGTTGAAAATTTGCATTAACAATATTTAAATATGTGATTTTAATGTTTGGTGTGTGTAATATTTTATATTTAAATACGTGCTTTTAATTTTTGGTGTATGTGATGTTTTATGTTCAAACATGTGCTTTTTATGTGTACTAAGTTTATTTTTAGTTTTAATAGAAAATGTAAAAATAAACTTAATTCTATTTTATTAATGGATTGTTTGGGAAATAATTTTTTCAAAAACTTTTAGCTTATTAAATATTTTTTTTAGTTGTTTGACCGGTGAAAAAACTAATTTATGTGTTTGATAAATTAGCTTTTTGGACAAAAAAAATTAATTTTTAAAAAGTTAATCTACCAAACATTTTAGAACAACTTTTTCACTTTAATTTTGTTTATTTCTTATTTATCCTTAAAAATTAATTATTTATTTCATAATATAAATATATTTGTATAGCAGTATTTACTAATTATTTATTAATATATTTTAATTTATTAAATAATAATTTTATTTTTGTAATAAAAAATAACAATGATTATTAATTATTACTTATAAATTATTTTATTTGTAAAATATATAAATATATTAAAATTAAATTAAATAGAAAAGACAAATATTATTAATTTTTTATATATTTTTATTATATAAATTTTACATTAAAAGTTAATAAACAATAATTAATATAATAAAAATATATATACAAAAAATTTATTATTTTATATTTCATACAAATTCAATAAAAAATTTTTTATTATATTTTAATAACTTTTTTTTTCAAATTTAAAATATAAAAATTAATATTTTATAATATTTTTATAATTTTTAATAATTAATAATAAAAATTCTCATAAATTTTAAAATAAAATAAAATATTTTTAAACGTATAAATAGCTAATACGAGACAGTTAGTTTAGTAAACATTTTCATACAAACCGCATACGCAAACCAGTTAAGTGAATGGTTGGAAGTGACATTATATATTATTTGAAATTACTTTTTTATCCTTTAAATGACTGTCATTGAATTAAATTTTAATATGACGGATTTGGGCTAATTAGCGATTATCATTACCGTAACCGTTCCCATAAATACCTCTCACCTTTCGTCGATAAAATCTTCCTTCGAAAATTGCAAGGAAGATAGTCTCAAAATTATCCGACAATCGGATTCTCCGTCTCCTTGTACACTGTCTACAGGTTCTCTCTTTGTTTTTTATTCTTCTGTATGCTGCAGTTTTTGTTTTATTTGGAAGATATTACTGTTGGCTATTGTTGTGATCGTCGTATTCGTTGTTTTGCTCGTAGGAGAAATTTTTTAACTAAGAAGTGGTAAAATTTGAGCAGGATTTCATCTAAGAAGTCGTATTTGATGAAGTGAATTATGGATGAGAGTCAACGCAATTCGGTGTTATGTTGATTTAATGATTAATTAGCAAATCATTTTGGTGTTTTGAGTTAGTATTTGACTGATTTAAGATGCAACTAGTTTGCTATATTAATTTCTTATTTTTTTGGCGTAATCAGTAAGGTTTGTGGATCCCTGTTATAGTTTAGCAGTTAATTAGCTTTAGTGTCACATTGAGGGTATTTTACCTTAAATCTACCTATATAGTGGTTTTAGTGTTTCACTGCCATTCTGAAGCCTAAATTTGAGAGAAATTACTGAATAATTTTAAATTGATGCATGCTTAGGAGGATATTCTATTTGGTGCAGACAAAAAAAGAATGTATCTGCTTACCTCATTTGCTAGTTTTATATGTCTTTCTTCCCCCGGCTGTAGAAATTTTTCGTGTATTTCGTCGTCGTATCTTTCCAGGTTTAGTCACTTGTTTCAGTTTTTAGTTTAAGTGTGAAACAAGTTTTCTCTTTTCTGTAGGATTGAATTCGTATGCATGTTGAATTTGGTGAACATATATATATATATATATATTTTGTTCTTGTATCTAACTTGTTTAAAATGTTACATAGTAATTTAATGATTAAATGACATGGAAGTTAATTAGATGTAAAGATGTATGTATACTTGAATAAAGTGTGTGCGTGTGTCTACATATATCTGTCTAAATTTGAATGTAGATAAGGTTAAGCAATTAGTGATTTGATTATAAAGCTTGAAGGGGGCTTTTTTGGGTGTAGAATTACCACCCAAAACTTACTGTCTAGGGTAGGGTGTCTTTTAATTTTACTACTCTTCCATAATTCAATACTTTGTTCATGACATTCAACTTCTTTGTTACAAGCCTTGATTGGAAAATGGGTCAAGTATTTGGATGTGTTCAAGTGAATCAATCTACTGTGGCCGTGAAGGAACAGTTTGGGAAGTTCGACGAGGTTCTTGAGCCCGGATGCCATTGCTTGCCTTGGTGTTTCGGCTACCAACTGGCCGGTTTGCTGTCGTTGCGCGTGCAGCAGCTTGATGTTCGCTGTGAAACAAAAACCAAGGTTCTTTGTGATTTTCTTGTTTATTTCTTTCCAAATTTATGCCTAGTACACATTAACTGCTCTTACAAGGCTCGATTCTACTAGTAATCTGCGCAGACTGATGGCCTATCTCGATACATTTGCAGCATGTCTGTGTTTAGATAAATTGTTGGATCAAGTATGGGAGCTATATGTGTTTTCAGGACAATGTGTTCGTCAACGTGGTTGCCTCAGTTCAGTACCAAGCATTGGCGCAGCATACGGTGGATGCATTCTACAAGCTATCCAACACCAATGCACAGATCCAAGCCTATGTCTTCGATGGTATGGTTTTATAAAAGGGTTCAATCATAGACATTTGTAAATTTTGGTTTTTGAAACTGTCATCGGACTTAATGTTCTTTGCGACGAACGAACCTTCATACATTCATTCAGTGATTCGAGCGAGTGTGCCGAGGCTTAATTTGGACGCTGCATTTGAGCACAAGGATGAAATAGCCAAAACTGTGGAGAATGAACTCGAAAAGGTAATGCATTCATTACACTTGTTTTTAACAAGAAACAACAACGTCATTGTAGATCATTGTTTCGATTGCGTATCTTCTACATATACACAGGCTATGTCTGCTTATGGATTCGAGATAGTCCAGGCGCTGATAGTCGACATCGAACCAGACAGTCAAGTCAAGAGAGCCATGAATGAGATCAATGCAGGTGAGCTCCAAGATCAGAACATGCTGAATTTTTCTATTCGACGAGATGCGATGATGGTAACTAATTTTGTGTGTCTGATGCTGCACCAGCCGCAAGGCTCAGGGTGGTGGCGAATGAGAAGGCTGAAGCTGAGAAAATCCAGCAGATCAAGAGAGCCGAGGGAGAAGCAGAATCGAAATACTTATCAGGTCTTGGCATCGCTCGCCAGCGCCAGGCCATTGTAGACGGGCTCAGGGAGAGCGTGCTCGCCTTCTCACATCACGTGCCCGGAACAACGCCCAAGGATGTCATGGACATGGTTCTCGTCACCCAATACTTCGACACCATGAAGGATATCGGTGCATCATCCAAGTCCTCGTCCGTGTTTATCCCACACGGCCCTGGTGCTGTCAAAGATATCGCCTCCCAAATCCGTGAAGGGCTTCTTCAGGCTGAAAGCGTCGCCAACTAGGTAAGTTTTATTGCATTTGTACCTCCATACCATCTGCTTGACTATTTGCCTATTCAGACATAGATGACTGACTCTATACATATGAACAACATTAAAGAGTTAGGGGATGTGTCGCCTACCCTCCATGTAAATCATTGTATACTTATCAAAAAACACATATAGCTACCAATAATGTAACAGCTCAACTCGATTAACTGCTCCATAGCTACACCCCAACCACAATAAACAGTTGCCCAAGTACGTTAGTAAAAAAAATCTCACTATATTATGACTAAAAGCAGCTCAATCAAACAATCAAAAACATCTATAATCTTTACAAACAGCAGTAGGCATATAACATCTCTACAATCATCCTTTTCACAGATGTAAGCAAAAAAAACAAAAAGAATAGATAAAGAAATGTGAGACATATATTGCCAACAAAGGCACACAATGCACAATCCACAGATTATATTTTTCCAAATCCAAATCCCCTTCAAGCCCTTGCTCTTGTTTCTCAGAAGCTTTTAGCTTCGAGACGAGACGACATCTGAGGCATCGTCTCAACAGGGCAGAAATCAGTATCTCACAATCATAGGAAGATGAAGAAGCATGACGGAAAGTGTTTGTTTGTGTGCTCGTTCGTACGTACCTGGTAACGCGCTTGAATGTTGTTGAGGTTGGTAGGTCTTGTCTTCCAGGATGACCCCGGGCCGGGAACAACAATGAATGACGGTTAGTAAAATCCAGATTCAATCAGGATGTCCCGACATCATCTTCCCTGATTTGGCTTCTCAGCCTCCGTAGCCAGATTTCATAATTGACAGGATAAGGTGTCCCACAAAGGCTATCAATGTAATCGGAAAATGCTTTCAGCACAGCAGAGATATCCCCGAGCTTCTGCTGTATCAATCTCTTCGACCAAGATATCTCCCTCCATTGCAGCGCCCCTTCAACGGAGTCCAAAACTGGCAAATCCCCACCACAACAAAAATATAGCATATATATCAAACTTTCCGTGTCGGAAGCAGAGTAAAGCTTCCCTTCTTGAAGAGCAGAAGTCGAAGAGAAATGAAGGTTCAAAGCCGGGCGATCCCTTTCTTCCAAAATAGCATGTCCCCAACCAATTAGGACAAAATACGGCTGCTGCCCGAGGCCAGGTCTAACATAGATGACATTTTCAGGCCTGATGTCACCGTGCCGAATCGCAGCAGACGATACAGCTGATAGAGCCGACAGGCAGTCATGACAACACCGGATAGCCTCATCACCACCAAATTGACCCGACCTCACCAAGTCAGAGACACTCCTCCCAACCGGACTGGTCACCAGCACGTGGGTCCCGCACCATGGGTGGTCACAGTTGTTACCACCTGTGCTCGGTTTCTTACAATGTCCCGGATGAATGACCCGCCCAGATGCAATCAAATCTGGAACGTACTTGCTCATCAATCCTTTCTGTTTCATAACATTAAGGACCTTCGTTTGCCGCTGCACTTGATACCATAACTTCATATCCTCCCATGCCGGCTCCAGTTGGGAAGGATTCGCGCCAACATACAGAAAAAATGAATTTCCTGGATCTTCAACAGGAGTCACAATATAGAAAATAATCTCCCCATCATTTAAAGCTTCATCTATCCGGTAGCCCTTTTGCCAGCTCGAATCCTCTATTAATAGAACAGATCCCACGTCAAGCTTGGGCCGATTTTTCTCAGCATCCACTTGAACCGATTCTTCCTGTACTTCAACAATTTCAGGGGAAGCGATGCGATGCTGAAGTCGGAAAGAACCGTTAGCATTTAACCTCATATTTTCCAACCCCCTCTCAATTTTCCTCGCTTGAAAGCGAGACCCGTGGTCAGCAGCTAAATCTTCAATACTATTCTTAGGGTTTCCTGCATATTGTGCTATGGAGTGGAATGTAGCATAAAGTACCTGTAAAACACCAATATCTCCCCAATTCGCATTCCCAAGCTTGTTCCAGATTCGATAAATTGGAGAAACGGAGATATGGGAATGGTCTTTAATCCATGCAGCTGCAGATTCATAGACGTTATACGCACCATATTCAATCTGATTTGGGTCACCTTCGACTCTAATAACACCACCGCATTGAGAATCAACCACGACCATATAAATGGTATTCAAACTCAAAGGAATATGTAATCTGCTGATGCTTCTTGCAACCAACGCACGAACTGCAAAGAATAAAGCTTCACCCATGATAGAGACGGGAGGTGTCTTTGAGTCTTCCTCAGCTGAAGCAAGACTTCCAATGTCGGGTCTCAGCAGGGCTAGCTCAACAACATCGTCCCACTTCCCATTTGGATGTCGGGGATTCTTTACCATTACAGCAGATCCACAAAGCCCCCCAAGTTTTCCTTTAGCTATGGCATGTTCGGCTTGGTAAAATCTCAAGTTTCCATCATACAAAGATGAGATATAAAACGGGATCAAATCATTTTCCTGACCACCCCAAAAAGCTTCCCACAAGCCGATCACACTTGCATGGAGAAAATCCTCCAGAGCAAGAAAAACAGTTTCTTCGACAGTGGTGGATGTTGATGCATACATAGCACTGGGCATTCGAATTAGTTGCTGGAAAGGTACACCTTCTAGAGCATAGTCGAACTTCTGAAGATCTATCAACTCGAAAGGAACATCAAAAGTAGGGTTATTATCTTCAGCTATGTGTTCGAGCCAACTCTCTAGATTTCCTTTCAACGCCTCGCTGTTGACAAATCTCCGAAGAAATTCCTTCTTGTCATGATTCCTACCACCTGAGGAAGTACTGGAGTATTTGTTCATGGATTCTGCTGAATCCTGATCAGGGGATATACCTGAAAATTTAGCATTATTTTTAATCACTCGTGATTGTTTTGGGCTGTTTAATGTTTGAAATTGAACACAAAGAAACACCAGATAATTTGTATGCATGAAAGAAGTCTAAACCAAACTATAGTACATACCGAAGCAAAACTATGAAATAATCTACACAGAAGCTATAGCTCGGAACCTCTCAGCACAATACTAAAGGTAAACATGAGAATATTCTCATGATGGGAAATTTCATAGATATATTTTCTTATTTGCTACCGAGGAATAGTTTGGAAACTCAAAACCCAGGTCCTAAATCACATAAAATAAGGGTATATTATTTAATCGTAGACCAGCCCTAAAGATTTAGTTGAATCTACACCAGAGCAAATACACTTAGCTCTTAAGTTGTCTTCTGTAAAAAGAAGACGAGCCGTGTTGACATAGGTACTCTTATTAATCCTTCTAAATCTTTCGGATATTACAGAAGAGCTTAAGTGCTCCTAGAAAAAGAAGCTGAAAAAGGTGTTCGCACATTTTTACTTGATTTCTAAAGGAAGCTTTCAACAAGAAGCTTAATAAGCTCTTATAGCTATTTATCAATTCTTTTAATTAATAAATCTCATTGAAACAATCATTAAAGAATATATTTACAATATTTATAGACATATAAGGCATAATATCTTTTCAAGGTAACATCTAGCTGTGAAATCACTTTCTTACAAATTTGAATCAATTTTCTTTTCCCCGCCCCATGTTTTCATTTGCAAGCAATCCAACTACTACTACTGTTTCTACTCTTAATTGTGAGTTTAGGGGGAAAAAAATGAAGGTTTCGAAGATAGTGTAGACTTACTATTCTTTAATAGCTGGTTAACTGAAAATTGAAACCGTTAAAAATGCATAATCTAGTCTGAATCATCATTTGCCAGAAAAATAGTGATATTTATAGTAGTTCAAATATGTATTAAATTTTTGAATTTTGGATGAAAGAATCACTTCCGTTATTACAATGCTAAGACAAACTCAGTCTGATTTTAAGTAGTCCATACGATCCCAACACCTAGGAAAAAAATTCACACAAAAGCAGACGTCGTCTAAGATATCGATCGAACGTCAATTCTGAAGAACAACTGCTATGAATTAAGCAATCCAATCAAAGTTCATAAAAATCGGCATTCATTAAACTCAAAGGTAAAACCTAAATAAACCACTAAAATGCGAACGCTTCAAGGTCCAAAAAAGTCCGCGAGATCGAGCGACTCGAAATAAAATAAGAAAGTACGAAATTAAACCTAATTCAGATCAGAAAACAAAATCCACCGCGTTACTCCACTGATTCGTCGCAATTGATCACCGAAACAGCAGAATTCCAACACAATTCAGTAAAACCCGAAGACGCCCGACTCAAAACCAATATAATCAATCAAAAAATTGGGATCACGAACTCACCCAAGGAAAAAAACAAAAAACGAGGCAACTACAGTCTATAACCCTCCTGCTTACCTTCCATCGCAGAGGCCGAGGAAACCGCAGAAAACTGATTGAATTTCAGTTGTAGATCGTTGACATCAGTCAGCAACCAAGTCTTCCACGATTCCTCTTCCTTCCTCCACAGTCCTCACCTCATTTCCACCATATGCAAAATCTCTTCCTCCCTCAGCTGAAAATCACGCTTTTTAGTCCCCTAAACTAAAAACGCTTTCCCTCGCCAGCGCTTAATCTTCAACCACGCTTTATACCGACTCCATTGTCCATTTTCACCAAAAGCGTTATTCGAATATATTAAAAAACACAATAGCTTTTGTACATACAAATAGCACATGTTTTTTAATTTAAATGATAATCGTATTTCAATTCAATGAATTATTATTATTATTCTATATCATTTAAAAATATTTATTTTTAATTATAATAAAAATAATTATATTTAAATATTAAAATATTTTTATTTTTATAAAAATATATTTATTTTCTTAGTATTATTTAACTGATTACCAAAAAAACAAATATATATTTTTCAGACGGTATCTTATTCGAAATAAAAAAGTGTGTTTGATGGAGGGTTGAATTTTAAATAATAAAAATTTAAATTTAAATAATTATTTAATACGATATAAATAAAAATTAATAATATATTTTAAATGAATTTTTTTTTAAATATGATATAAAAAAAATAAAAATTAAGTTAGATATTTAAAAACAAATAATAATAAAATGAATAGTAAAAATCTAATAAAATCTTTCAATCCAACACACAAAATTTGTCTCAACTACAACCCAACATATTATAGAAATATTCAACTGTCCAAACTTACAAAACGCTACAACCTTTCACTCTTTATTTATTTATTTATAATTTTAAAAATAAACCTTTCCGGCGGGCATTAGTTGGGCATCGTAACCATAAGAGATGAGATGGCCAGGCGTGTCACTTGGCCATCATAACCTTAACGAACTCTTCGTAGTTAATCTGGCCGTCCCCATCGACATCGGCCTCCTTGATCATTTCATCGACTTCCTCATCAGTCAGTTTCTCGCCCAGATTGGTCATCACATGGCGCAGCTCAGCGGCAGAGATGAAGCCATTCTGATCCTTGTCGAAGACACGGAATGCCTCCTTGAGCTCCTCCTCCGAATCCGTGTCCTTCATCTTCCGAGCCATCAGGTTCAGAAACTCGGGGAAGTCTATTGTCCCGTTCCCATCAGCATCCACCTCGTTGATCATATCCTGGAGCTCCGCCTCCGTTGGGTTCTGCCCCAGGGATCTCATCACCGTACCAAGCTCCTTTGTCGTGATGCAACCTACGTATAACAATAACATACATACGAGCATAAGTTAGATCGATCTGTATACATGCAAGAAATGAACATCAGAGATTTTCAACCCAATAATATAATAAACCGAGATAAAAATAAATATAAAACTTTTAACTCTTTGGACTTTGCGTCCTCTAAAAAGAAAATACATTTATTCCTCTCACAAAAGGAATAATATCAGATCAAAAACTCAAACGTCTAAACCCAATACAGACGGAAAAGAACAGAACCTAATAATGCTCTGTTTACTTATTTGGTTTCAGTTTTTTTTTTTTTTTAAATTATTATTATTATAAAATTGTGACGATTTCTATAAAAATATGATATTACAAATGATAAAATATCAGATCCAAACAACTATTCAAACCAAAATTCAATACCAAAACTCAAAACCGAACCCCACGTAAACAAATAGAACCTAACTAAATTACAGCATCTAGTTTGGGATATTAGTATGTGAAACAAGAATCAAAATTCCAAGTCTTGTACATTTAGCTATCGCGGAGTAAATATTATCACCCAATTGATAGTAACCAATTATCAAGAAAAAGAAAACTCAATGAACTGGGATCAATTCAACCACCACCGTCGACTAAGCTTCATGAATAACACATCAATTGCTCAACACAGATCATGAAAAGCACGTGCGCATCATAAGACAATTACGGAAAACTTAATCAGAGTTGTTTCCAAAGATAAAGCAAGCATCTCAAAAATCTCAAAAACGAATTGATATCCACAATTACGAGGAAGAAATCAATGATCAAAAGAACCAAGTTAAGACAAAGCACAAAAAAGAAGTACACCGCCTTAACCTCCCCCTTCTTTCATACAACATATCGAACCAAACTTCAATTTTGTTTGACACAAAGACAAAAGAAAAACAAGCATAAGATCCATTTTCCTTTCACGTGAACCATGACACAACCTAACTGAAATGAACTGAATCGAACCAAATCACATTTCAACATACTAAAGATTAAGACAAGTGCCACAAGACAAGGTATATCCTTAATGCCGCAAAGCTAAATAAAAATACATATCGATTATGGAATTGTTTCTACAAAAAACCATAGCACTTGAACAAATAGCAACACAATTCACATATGTAAAAGTCTAAGAGTTGTTTCCGAAACAGGATATTTTACAATATTTTATCTATAGGATTTACGATAATCTTTTGTTCCCTAGATCATTTTACAAATATACTATGGTCAAAGTTTGCTTTGTTTCCTGATTTATCAATGTACTAATACTTTTCAATATATTAGCAATCTCTGGTTTCCAAAGGAATAGCTTCGAAACAAAATTTGAAAGGTGAAATTATCGATCGACCCATGGTGATCAAATAATCAAAGAATTATAAACTACATTAATTCGAATTCAGTTTGAAACGAATATATGGATGGATTTCATAATACCAAAATTGAATTTGATGTCTAAATTCATATTCAAAATATAGAGAATGTTTTTCTATATCATCGACTCGTTTGAAGTATATATCAATTTGGTATTTCCAAATTCAATGAACAAATTCGATATCAAAATAGATGCAAAAAAAATTCGGAAATCAGAGTCCAGTGATTTCTAAAATCCCTGGAGAAAACCGAAAACTATCTTATTTCAATTCAAAATGATTGTATCCAAACAAGATCCGACGCAGAAACCAAAACCCTAGATCCAAAATCCAAACAAAATTACAAAATTGAATGCATAAATAAGCCTCAATAAAAGCAGATTCGCGCAAAATCCAATACAATATGGAACGAATCCATAGTTCAAGCAGCTACGATCGAAAAATTAAAGAGTTTAAAAGGGGAGGAAAAAAAATATCACAGATCGTACCGTCGCCATCCTTATCGAAGAGGCTGAAGGCCTCCTTGAACTCGGAGATCTGGTCGTCCGTCAGTTGATCCGCCATTTCTGCCTCCAAATTGCGTTTGTTAATTTCTTGGAAGATATGAGGAAGGGAGAAGATGGCAGTGAGAATCGAAGAAATGGGACTCTCTCTCTGGATTAGAGGCAAACTTCAGCGTTAAATATGTAGATATCAGAAGCGAAACAAATTTGTGCTGTTCTTGTTTCTTCAAGGGTGTATCGTATCGTATCGTTTCGGTTCGTTTCGTATTCGTATTCGTGTGTGTGTAATGTGTTTAATCTCTCCTTTTCGATTCCATCTCGCGTTTGAGAGATTGTCTGCTCCCCGTCTTCCCCGCTGTCCCTTTGACATTTTGCCTTTGACTTTCTACCCGTGTTTTATTTATTTTCTAATTTCTTTTATTTTTATTATATTTTCTTCATTTGGCAAAATTAGGGTTTGTTATTTTTTGGTTTTGGTTTTGGTTTTTGTTTTTGTTTGAAGAAAAATTTCTTTACAATTATATAGGTAATATATGTAACATACTACCTCTAAAAATCTCATTTATTTTTTTATGTGTTAATTTTTAAATATTAATTATTATATGTAAATACAGTACAAATTAAGAAAAATGTGCAAAAATACTTCTATTAGTGTGTTATAATATTATTATAATAATATTTATGTAAAACAATATATAAATATAAAAATATTTTTTATATTAACTACAATGATATAAAAGATAAATTGGACCTTCGAGCCAAACGAAAAGAGTATTAAATTTTTTTAGAAAAATATGTTAAATATTTTTTGACAAAAATATAAAGCATAACTTTAAAATAAGATTGAAGGTATGTTTGATCTAATACCAATGAATATTAAATAGGATGAGTCTATTTAATGTCAATTTGAAAATTTCTATACTATTTAATTTAATTTTTTTAAAAGATATAACGATAAATGTTATTTTTTTATATTTTCAAATCTCTTCAAATCTTCAAAAATACAAATTCTCCGTCTAAAGGGAGCAAATATATTTCCGATAAATTGAAATATTGAATAGTAAAATACATATTGTAATTGTTAAGTACGCAATAACTTTCGTCGAGTTTAAACTATACAGATCATGAATGCTGACATGAAATTTTATTTGATTATATCGAAGATTTGCAAGAAAAGTAAACAAGATCAGGTGTGTGCATGATTATTGCACAGTCTCTATTGCCTATTGCATGGAAATATGAACAGAAAAAAATCCAAAACTAAATAAAATGGACTTTTCAACTTATGACATCAATCAAAGACAAAAGCATTGTCACATTACAAGAGAAATACATCTCAATTTATACAGTGTGTAAACTCATTTACAAAATTAATTTTTGTAAAATAATTTAATTAATAAATGTTTAATGTTATGATACATACTATGCAACATTTTCTTAGTGTTGAGACAAGATTGGGCTTATTTCTTAAGTTTTGCTTGATGTTTACAAGCCCACGAAAGTTGACCCAAGAGTTTGTCTAAGGAAAATCAAATCCAATGAGGTTGTTGTGGTGGTTTGGTGAATGCCTTTTTGGGCGTGTTGGTTGGTGTAACAGATTAGTGGTGGAGTCTGCGTGGTGGCATTTGAGGCACACTAAAAGATTCTTATTCGGTTAGGAGAATGTCAGTGCAATATATATATATATATTATATATGATGAAGAAAAAATAGGTTGTATGAAGTGAAAAAATGGTTGTTGTTCTTTGATGGATAGAGGATGGTGAGTGTGTGTCTATAGGGTGATAAGATACAACTCGAATATAACTCTGATCCATTGATGAAGAAGAGTAAAATGGTCTGGGTTGGAATCCTCCAGATGTAGATCTTGTGAGACCGAATTGGGTTAACATTTCTTGGTGTATTTTCATTACTGTCTATAAAAGAGTGCGTGTGTTGTTTGATTTCACAGTAGACTACACCTGTGTTGAAATATGTTATACTCATAATTTCGTTGCTACGTGACTACTGCTGTGCATTTAAGGATTACTGGGTTAACACTTAGTATATGTATTGTATGTGTCATAATAGTTTTGCCATCCATTATCCTTGGAATTGGCTAATAGCCATTTCATACATAATTTAATGTGATTAATATATAATTTTTTAGTCCTATCTTGGCTTTGGTCTCTCTTTCTATAATATATATATAATTTTTTTTTTCTCTATCTTTAAAATCACATAAACACACATTACACATATACATATATATATATATTATCCATAATTACTTATATAATTTTATTATCTTATGCATTTCTATTTTACTTACATAACATGTTATCAACACGAATTGCAAATAGTTTGTTTTAAAAATAAATTCTCTACAATCCTATTCCGATGTCAAAGTGGCATAAGAATTTTTCTCTCTCCAAAATTTTAGGTACTAACTTTTATTTTTATATTATTTGATTTTATTTTCAATATAATCATGTTTAACCTTGCAAGATTTAAGTTCCACCCATTGGCTATTACGGAAGTGATTATATACCTTGGGTAATAGATGTCGAAATGCACCTCGAATTCATAAGACTTGATAAAACAATAATGAAAGACAATGAATGCATAAGTCAGGAACATGCAAAAGTAATGATATTTCTTCATCATTATATTGACGAACCTTAAGAACGAAATATCTCACGGTATAAGATCCACTTGAATTGTGAATAAATTTAAACAATCGATTTGAGCATTTGAAATCGATCATCATGCCGAAAACGCAATAAGCATAGAAACACTTGCGTTTATAAGATTTTAAAATTGTTGTCAATTATAAATCCGCGATATTTAAAATCATATATCAGTTGAGATATTGTGATGAAAAATTAATAATAATATGTTAGAAAAAAACGTTTACTGTGTTCCATGTCTTCAATTTGTTATTACAACAACAATATCAAGAAAGAGGTTTTACAAAATAGTGATTTGCTAATTTTCTCTTTGTTGCTGAGCAAAATAACGAGTTGTTGAAAACCATGAATCAGGGCCAACAAATGCGAGTCTATATTCCGAAGTGAATGCAACTCAATATTTGACTATTGGGCCTGGAAATGACTGCACATAAGGCTGCAGAAAAGGTCGTGAATGTGGAGCAGAATGTCGACGTAGAACTGGCCGTGGACGTGGTTGTGGTAGTTTGTTTCACATCATTACCGTGATAATAATTTTGATGAACAAAGACCAAATAGTCCCCTAAAGCGGCCTCACAAAGATATTGGTCAAAGTTTGAACAAGGTTGAGGATAAATATCATAATTGTGGAATGACAGGACATTGTTCCCAAACTTGTCACTCGAACTCTTATTTTGTTGAAAATTATATCAAAATTTCCTACAGCAAAAAACCAAGACACTCGAAGATGCCAAGACTCTTGAGATCAACTTTTCATAAAATAAAGTTAGTGGCAATGGTAGTTGTGATCATAATGATGATACACATTTAGATATATTTGATTTTTTAATTAACCCTGAAGGTGCATATTATGATAATATCGATTATGTAATATGATAGCATGCATATATTTTTGTACCCCTTTATACATTATCATTTTAATCCCTTATATTTTGTAATAATATTTTGTACTTCAACTATGTACTTTGTTCATTTTATTAGTATATTAATTTTTTTGTTATTTTCCCAGAGAAAAATAAATATGAATGATAAATATTTTATAATCAATAACACCGAAGATAATTTATGTCTTATAAATTGTGTATCATCGCACACCATCTTGAAAAATAGGAAATATTTTATCAAGCTAAATTTAGAAAAATCTAAATTAATACTGTCGGTGGTAGTGCGAAACTGATTGAAGGCTCTAGAAGATTAATAACTAATATTTATCACATAATGAGTAAAATTCGACATTCCAAATGAAAAATATTCTAGAAAATCTCAAAAAAAATTGCTAAATTTTAATAATATTTACATAAATAGATATCGTATCAAGACATCGAATGAAACAAATAATGAATTTGTGTTAATTATAAAATTCATTGATGACAAAATATGTACTGTAAAAATTACTTTCATTGTCTTTCGGCTTATATTACACAAAATTGAATGCAATTGAGACATATATGGTATACCAGAATTTCTACAGATTTTATGATTTGACACAATCTCCTTGAGTATCCCGATAATATTATGATAAAATGAAATATTGAAAATACACATGGTCATACTTTGAAAAATCAAAGAATGATGAATACAAATGAGTTGAAATGTGTTGTTTGTTAACAAGGGAAGATAATGATTAAATCATCACCAACAAATGTGGGAATTGAACTAGTATTTTTAGAATGGATTCAAGGTGATATATTTGAGTCTGTAGATCCACCATACGAATATTCACCCACAATTTGGCATTTTCGAGGTTGCTTACTCAAATAATTAAATTATAAACAAAATTTCTTGATCATTCAATAAAGAAAATTCATCTTGATAATGTTGGTGAATTTTCATCCGTGACATTTGATGATTATTGCATGTCTATTGAAATTGATATTGAACATCATGTACCTACCTTATGAACATACTCAAAATGGTCTAGCTGAATCATTTATAAAGATATTAAAGATAATTTCCAGACCAATATTGATGAAATTTAAACTTCTTGTATCTACTTGGAGACATGCAATTTTACATTCAGCAACGCAACATTAATAAAATTTAGATCGACAAGCTATTATAGCTACTCCCCGATACAATTAATGTACAATGAAAAACTCAATATTTCACATTTCCAAACTTTTGGGTTCGCAGTTTGTTTTGATTGCACCGCCTCAACATAAAAAAATGAGCCACCAACAGAAATTGGGAATATATGTCGGGTACGAACCACTATCTATTATTAAATATCTAGAACCATTAACTGTGAATTGTTTACGGCTCGTTTTGTTGATAGTCACTTTGACGAGTCACATTTCCCGATATTAGGGAGAAAAATTGATCAACTCAAAAAGGGGGTTACCTAAAAAAATTATTCAGTTTTCTTGATACTCACACAAATCAAAGTGAATTAAAAGTGCAAAAAATTGTACATTTTACAGAAAATTGCAAATCAGCTACCTGATGCTTTTTGTAATGCCAGTAGAGTTACTAGATCATATATAGCTGCAAAAAATATACCAGGTAAATTTTTTGTCCCAGCAGAAAAAATGTAAAATGCTAATAAATCAAATGCACACCTGAAGCGTAGCAGACCTTTAGGTTCCAAAGATAAAAATCATCGAAAAAAAATGAACAAATGAGAAAGTTGAGGAATTGAATGTTAATCAAAATCCTCAAGAAACAAGTAGTA